CCCTCCGCGCCGATGAACTCCTTCAGCGGGGGCAGTCTCTGATGAAGCGCAGCGGTCGTTGTGGACTCCCGCAGGCTGATGTCACCACCATTCGGCTGCGCGTCGGTGCGAACGGCCGATGGGATCGCCTGTCGCGCTTGTGATGACGTTGCAGCTTCAGCGACGGCGATGTCGGAGCGGATGTCTAGGCTGGCCACGCCCCGAACAGCTGTAGCGTCGATGGCGGGAATTTCAAATTCGGACTGCTCCGAAATGGCGGGAAGGCGCCCTGGTCGTTGGCTCGCCTCGCCCCGTGTTGGATCACCGGCCCCTAGTCGCGTGATGGTCTCCAGCGTGGCGGCAGCGGCATACAGCAGCTCCGCCAGCCTCCCGTGAGCCAGCCGTAACGCGTCTGGCTGCGGCCCCTCTTCATTTCGATGCCCCGGTAAGGAGGCGTCAGGCCCCGGCTGCACCTTGTCTTGTGGAGCCGTCTCGGGCTCGACGATCTCGGCAGTGTCTTCCTCCTGCGGTACTTTGGCCTGCGCTGTTTTCCGCGTGTCCATGTTCGAATTACTTCTGACACCAGTTGAAGTACCGGTGAGGACGCTTTACGCCGAGGTTGAGGCACACGTATGTTTATTCACAATATGACAGTGGGCATATACACACTCGAGGGGGTATCGGCCCCCTCACCCGTATAACTCGGGATACACCCCTAGCTAACTCTGTCCTAGCCCCGAATCCTCCACTAATGGGCTAGGGGAGGCTAACTGGCCCGACACTGGTAAGTCGGGCCCGGTACCCGGAGTTCCAGACCAGCTCTTACAAGAGCACCGGCTCTGGCTTTCGGGACCACGCCGCTGGCTCAATCCTGTCCGGCCCAGAAAAGGACATCGAACCAGGGGAGTCCAGGGCTCTATCTAAGACGTCTTCAATCTTCTTCCCTTAGCTTAAACATAACTGCCGAGCCCTTTGAAACATCCCCTTTTATACCCAACCCCTCCCTGAGGGGTGGGGCCCCGGGGGATCATAACGTTCGAACCAGCCCCCCCCAGGGTGTCTGGCTCGGACGTCGTAGAGGGCACTTGCTCGTGCACTTACGTAGCCCCGCCCACTGTGTTTGTTTTCCATAGGCTGCCATGCATAACGGGCCCTCTCTTTAACACCCCTACACATACACACACACAGACACAGATTCATGTACACGGATGAACAGACACCTGAAGAAAGAAGTTCTACGGAGGAGCGCTCTGCAACAGATAATTCACCTCGTTCAGGGATCCACCCCTCCGCACAAAACATACACATATTTTTGACGCATTTTTGACGCATCCCATCAGCTGCACGGCCTTCTGGGAGGCCGTTACTGGTTCGGCGCGAGCAAAAAAACTCTCCGACCGCTGTCGAGATTCAGTGTGTCTCGTCAGCAGATTCGGGCTTGGGACATCGGGCGGTTTTGCCAGAATGAGGTCACATCTTACAGATATTCGTCGTCGACCATGGTCAATCCACTGTTGGATGAAGGCCTGCATCCCTAAGCCGCCGCCTCAACCACAGCGGCCACCTTTTATCGCGATGCTGTCAGGTAAATAATCCAACCGGGCACTTTGCACGCCAACTGAAATCATCGATCCATTTCCACACGGGACGGCATGATTATTTATTTATTTTCAGCCTCGTCTTCATCTGAGAGTTGGATGTTGCTGTTTGCTCGGAAGAGAGACGGGGTGGTAACTCTTTGCAAATCTAATCTCGAAATGACGACTTATACAGGTCACGACCATCATGAACATTATCACTCATCACCATCAAAACCGTCATCATCTTCATCATCCCAACTACAAACATCATCACCACCATCGTTACCATCATCATCAGCACCACCATTAAATAAAGATCCCCCGTATAGCCTTAACAGACCGTCGAAGCAAATGCTGTTAGCAAGGAGCACCTATGAAGGCCTATAACACACACGGCGGGGTGTGTGGCCAACACCACCCCCGGCCGCATTTGTCTCCCTCAAGCGATGTTTAAACACCGCATTCGGTACTCATTTGAGGCTGAGTCGGCCTAGGAGAGGCCCAAGACCGGTTCAGATAGTCGACACTGGTGTTGGCCGTGAGCGGGAATCGATTTGGGGTCGTCGGGTTCGTAGAACAGCACGCTAATCGCAACAACATCACCATCACCACCATCATCACCACCACGATCATCATCATCACCACAATCATCATCATCATCACAATTATCACCACCATCATCACCACCGTCACCATCCCCACCATCATCACCATGACGATTATGGTCACCAATGTTACCTTCATCATTATCACCACCATCATCACAATTATCATAACTGGCATCATAAATATCATTATCACCACCACCATCATTATCACAATCATGATCACCAAAATCATCATCACCATCGTCACCATAATCATCACCGTCGTCGTCACCATCATCACCACCACCACCATCACGAAAGACAAAAATCCTCCGTATAGTCTTAAACAGACTGTTGGGGCAAGGACTGTTAGTGAGCACCTATGAAGACCGACAGTGTACACGAGAGGGTGGATGGCCAGCACCACGCCCGACCGCCTTTGTCTCCCAAAGGGCTAATGTTTACATACTGCACCAGGTATTCACATGAAGGCTGAGTCGACCTTGAAGAGGCCCCGAATCGGTTCAGATATTCGACACCGATGTTGACCGTCAGTGGGAATTGAACTCGCGGGGGTTCCTGAGTTAGTAGCGTGGCGCGCTAAGCGCTACACCACCGCTCCCCCACCGTCACTATAGATAGAGTCTGGAACACCGTGGGATGCAAGCCACGCGCTCACGGAGAGTGCAAGCGAGACACGTGGCGCTGCCTTCTGTAAACCCTCGCTCCACAACCATATAAAACAACTGTAAACTAATTTTTATGTTATAAGGCAAGGCCCACTGAGCTACGCAATTATTTTTCAGAAGCGAACTGGCTATTACAAATGATAGCTCACGTGGGCATTTATAGTAGCAGACACATGCTCTGAATGTGGAGGGAAAACCGGAGGACTCGAAGAGATACGTAAACTCTAAATATACATCAGGCGTCAAGGTCGGGATCGAACCCACGACCTGCTGAATACCAGGCGAGGTAGTTAACATCTCGCCACCGTGCTCACCCCCCCCCCCCCTTCATTATATTTTCGACGATTGTAATTTGTTCACATATATTGTGGTAATTACCTACGTCAGACGAAGGGGAACCGCAGTGCAGCTCTGCAGGAACCTCTGGCGGTTTTTCACAATGCACACGAAGGGCCGGTAATCGTTGTTTTTCTACCCGCGTATCCCTACCGTGTGTGAGAGTGGGGGAGCGGTGGCGCAGCGGTGAGCGCGCCGCGCCCCTAAAAGCAGCCACCCGAGTTTGATTCAATCGCGGCCATAAACATCGGTGACAGATACATCTGAACCGGTGTCCGAAGACTCCCCTAGGTCGACACATCCTTAAAAAAAATGAGTGACCTAGTGCAATGTGCGAAATATTGACACGAGGAAGACAAAGGCGGCCGGGCGTTGTGCTGGCCACCAAAACGCGACTCGTTTGCCGTGCCGGCCTTCATAGGCATGGCTGCTCGCTAAACGCACTTGCCCCCTCCAGTCTGTGAAGGCTACACGGGAGATCTTTGTCGATTGAACATTTTGCGTCTCTGAGCCACTTCGCGTTGTGTGCGTCCCTGCTCCGTGCCGGGGGGGGGGGTCGCCCCAGGACGACCCCGCGAAACACAAAAAACGAAACAGAGTGCAGAGGGAAGAAAGGGAGAGTGGGGAGATTCCAGTTGCTGATTGTAACCAGCATCATCAAGTGTTTCACAAGGGCTGCTGATGCTGGATGTAAAAGTTGATAATGCTGGATGTAATCCCCAGCGAAATGTCGGATCAAAAATACCTCCCATTATTTAATTATTGTGTATCACATAGAACAGCGCACTACGCTAAGCATTGAGCCACTGCTTCTCCATTGCAATGTATTTTGATAATCCATAATATAGGTTTTTGGGCGAGATCGCGTAAATATCAATGTGTCGTTAAACCCGCCAATTTGGTAAGGTTTGTCACGTAAACAAAACGTGACATATAATTGCCATGTGTTGTTTACATAATTATTGGCATGTTTTGTTTACATGCCAAACTAATTACTAATTAGCTGTGTCGGGTGGTGGCGGGTTTTATACACTTATTTATATGTAAGCGATCTCACCCAAAAAACTCTATTATGTTAATATTAGCCGCGAAAGCCTACTACTACCAAGTGTTAAACCATTCTGATGTATCTCTCATCATTATCGTCATCAGCAGAAGCGGCATCGTAGTCGCACTGCTGCTGCTGCGTGACTACGATGGCGAGGAACGGTGGGATGAATGAGCTGCACCGCGCAGCTGGCACCGCTACGGATTACGAAGCTCCAAGCGCTGGGAACGCAGAGCCCAGGAATTCAGTAGACACGAGCCACACAGCATCCGCTATTGCCGAACATCATCTCTGTCTGCATCATCATCGTGATCGCCATCATCATCACGCAGTCCTGATTGTCACCATCCTAATCATCATCTGCATCATCAACAACGTCACCACTACCTACGCCATCAACTGCAATATAATTAATGGCACCACTACGCAATCCCCTTCAAACCATTACCACCACCAATGGCACATCACCACACCACTACTATGACCCATCATCGTCATTATCACCATCACCAGCACCATCACACCATCATCACCGCCACCATCAACTCATCATCATCGTCGCCACCACCATGACCCCATCATCACCACCACCATCACCCCATCGCTACCACCACCACCATCACCTCATCATCATCATCGCCACCACCATCATGACCACATCATCATCACCACCACGACCACCACCACCACCACCACCCCATAATCATCGCCACCACCATCAACCCATCATCACCACCACCGCCATGACCCAATCACCACCACCTCCACGACCTCAACTCACCAAAGAGCGACATGAGGAAACCCTCTGTCACGCAGCCGCCGCGTCCCATCACGAGGCCACCCACGGCGTTGGTGATGGTGTTGGGCAGCCCCCCGGCCAGCGCCATCCCGAGGTCGGCCGCGGCGAGGCTGAGCAGCGCCGAGTTGAGGGGCTGCCTCAGCTCCTTGTGCCTCACGCTGGCCACCACCACGAGGCCGTTGAGCAGCAGCGAGGCGAACGTCGTCACTCCCATGATCACCGACAGGGAGACAAAGACGGCCCTGGATGGGGTCGCGCTGGCCGGCTCCAATAACACGCCCCCGCTCCTGTTGCCACCGCCGCTGCTGCTGATGACGATGCCGCTGTTGTTTGTGTCCATCCTGCCGCGTGTGCGTGCGCGCGCGCGTGTGGGACTGCGGGGATGATGTGTGGGACGACGCGTGGCGTTGGGCGCAATAGGGAGAAAGAAAGGGGAGTTCAGTTGGGGGTGGGGGGGGAGGCGGTGTGAGTACTCCGGTTAATACGTGCACACTCACTCACCAAAGCCCGTGCGTAAATAAACATTCACGCACGTTATCATTAGTCCAAAAGGTAACCATCCCATGTGCTAACCACTGCGACACCACTCCCTTCCTCCGCATCACATACCACACAACGCTATAAGTACATAAAGACATAGTGGTACACGTGTACAATCTACACACACACGTGTACCACTATACACACACACACGTGTACACTCTACACACACGTGTAACACTCGATGCTATTCACAGTGAACGCGAATGACACGCGCCTCGTGGTGACGAGAGCCACCTGGAGCCCGTGTGACAGATGACCGCGAGGTGTGACCTCACGTATGTGTTCAAGTAGGGGCCAGTGACCGAAACGTCGCCTACGAGTGTCACGTACGAGCCGAGTTAATAATAATAACAATAACGATACGTTCACATACCTGGCAACCCCTTATCAATGCCCACCTCATTACAGACCAATTCAGACCGCATTGATCACCCCGTGCCCCTTATAAATCTGAACGTTCATCCTGCAAAGTCTCACTACAAGGGAGAAACACAAATAAACACGAAGTTTTTTTGCCCGTATTGAAACGGCTGTACGCCGTATGGACCTGAAAACTCAATTTCCCTGTACAAGAATACGGGTAAACCGTATGGGTTGACAGCTATGCTTTTATTTAATGGAGTGTCATCCGTGCTAATTGCATCCCCATGAACGCTGCACATTAATTATATCGGTGATATGCGCGCATGCGACGTTCACTTACAGGATCTTCTGTTGTTCCCAGGGGGTGGAGTTGGTGCGACGAGTGATTTAGGTCAACTTATTTACGAATGTCTCTTTCCGAATAGATACATAAATAAATGTAGCTTGTTTCTCTTGTTTTGCCCCCTCTCCCGGTAAATATCTATAAACGAGAGACAGCGACCGCAACTGCAGCAAGCAGCAGTCGCAACGGCTTCCTTCACATCTACATCCGCGGAACAACCACGCGGCCTTTTAACTTCATGCGCTTTGGGTGGAGGGTGGGGGGTGACCGAACCCCCCTAACCCCTCCCCGCCTTTCTGAACGCGAGCACTCATATAATAATTAATTAAATAGATATCTACCGCGATCTGTCTCACTAATTCACGTCGAGTGGCGGGGGTGAAGGGTGATGGGATGAGCATTAACTTGCCAGACGTGTGCGTGTCAAGACAGGCGGACCCAAGCATTACGTTGGCTCACGCTGAGACCCCATAGACTTACACTGAGACCCCGTATACCTACACTGAGACCCCACAGACTTCACCAGACACCCATAGAATGACACAGACACCCATGGACTCGCATGCACCCGTTATGATTAAACCGGCTTTTCGTGTCTTTAAGAGGCGTTGATCTCATCCATGGTCACCAATCACTGCATAAAAACAACCCACCACTCGCTCCCTCGCTGTGGAAGAACCACAGACGAGCAGAAAGACGGGCAAGCAATAGCCGGCGCCAACACTTTGCCCAAGCTCTATGGTCCTCTACGTATCGCTACTCACGTCGGTGATACGTTCCTGAAATCTGCGACGAATATTGAAACGTAAATCTGAAGCGATTTTTTCTCTTAATAATAAATGGAATGAGGGAGGGATGCGTTCCTCACGTCGCCATTTCCCCTATTAATTTTATTTTGCTTTTAACCTATGATATAATCCTATTTTTTGGTTCATGACAGTGACATTTAAATACACATATAAATAAAAGAAAAAGTTAGCATACATATCTAAATAGAAATAAACAACATATTTTAGACATAAAGGAGAGCCCATTGATGCTTATTCCTTTTGTTTAAAGAACTCGCCTCTTCATAAGAAATAAGTGTTATTTAGACAATGGTCAGCTAGTTTTGGAATATCTTCTGGTAAACCATGTCTTTTTTACTAGTGTATCGAATAATTTAAGTGACTCGTGAACTGGAACCTTAGTGAATAGAGAAATTACATAAAAACTCACCAGAATATCATTAGGGTTAAGTTGAATATCTTTAATCACATTCACTAGATGTTCGTAATTTCTTATAAATGAAGATGTCCTTCCAATGTCGGGCTTTATTGGTTTAGATACATATTTTGTTAATTTATGTGTGGCAGAGCCTATTGTACTTACTATGGGTCGTAATGGGATACCGATTTTATTCATCTTTGGTAGCCCATACAATGTAGGTGGTTTTGAGGCCCGTGGCTTAATTTGGTATTGCTCAGTCTTAGGGATTAATGCATTTGTAATTATTGCAGTATTCTTACGTTTTAAAGTATTAATTGGATCTCGTAAATTTTTTAAAGAGGTACTTTCATATTATTTGGTTCTTTCGGTAAAGCAACGTAGATAGATCAAATACAAAATAATAATAATAACAATATCACGACGTTTCGATCGCAACACAAGCAATCGTCATCTGGTGAGAAATATTGCGGGAGAGCTGCTGAGAATATATGGTGGGAGCGCTGCTAAGGCAGGGAGTTATAAAGGTTTGGGATGGTGTAGCCCAAGGGACAGTGGGAGGGGCTAGAGATGAAATTTGCATGTAAATGGCAGATCTGGTAAATCTTGACAAACGAAGCTGTGGCGGCGGCCATTGTATTGTGAGATATTAGCATGTCAATGTAAGAAATGTGCTTGTAATGTAACCGCGGAGGTACTTTCCTCTAGTAAATCTTTCATTGTATTATCATAATCTGCTTGTGACATCACTACAGTAGTGCAACCTTTATCAGCTGCCATAATTTGAATATCTTTATTTCATTGAAGTTCTCTTAAGACTTTTACTTCGTTAAAACTAATCTTTTTTTGGTACTTTGCTATTCCCCCTCCTCTACCTCTGATCTCGGCACCTTATTGGGTTCACTGATGACGTCATCCTGCACTATTTAAGACCGGAAGCAGGTGGATGGCTTCACTATTCTGGCAAATCGCCCGAAGATGCTGGATGTAATTACCAGCAAAACGTCGTACTCAAATTGTAAATCTTCTTGGTTCTTTTGGTAAAGTCACGTAGAATGGAAATAATAAAATAATAAAAATAAAACAATAAAATACAATTCTCACGACGTTTCGGCCATAACGCAAGCAGCCGTCCTCAGGTGAAGAACAGGTCTGTCGGAAAGACAGCGTCTGAATGAACACCACTAAGCTTGGCAGCGTATATTTAAGCAGGGTAAGAGGAGGATGGCGCCTTGACAAATACATTTGCATATCAACAGAGGAATTTAGCATATTTATGGAAAATGCAGATATTGGATTAGTCACTACTTGTGGAATGTGTAGGAGGTGGGGGGGGGGGTCTCAAAGTCATATTATGCACGTGTATTATGTAGGATTAGCAGTAATAAAGGGAGGAAGTAGGATTAGCAGTAATAAAAGGAAGGAATTTTTAAAGTAAGGAGCTGCAGCAGCCAAACCACCACGTAAAAAACTAAAATATAAACTACATTAATATCATCAATATACTCAATATACTCTCCAATAAGCTGAGCTACTAACAGTAAGTCATACATTACAATTCTACGTGGCAAAAAGTATAATATGCCTCCAGCTAAACTTTTTCCTTGCATCACACGGATATGCCCTGTACTATATACTGCCATAGACAAACCCAACATTAACTTATATACTGCATTACTATACACCACCCTATACCTTAGACTGTACATACCTGTTCTTCACCTGATGACGGCTGCTTGCGTTGTGGCCGAAACGTTGTGAGAATTGTATTTTATCATGTTTTATTTTTATTATTTTATTATTTCCCTTCTACGTGACTTTACCGAAAGAACCAAGAAGATTAATCCCTGCAGTCACGAAAGCTTTAAATCGAAATCAAATTGCAAATGTTATGGATTCACTCTTCAAAATACCGGTGGGCTGAAGAAATAACTATTTGGCGTTTTGTTAACGTAACAAATCCCTTACTGATTGGCCGTGTTGGGTGCTGGAGGGTATCGACGCGATCTGTTGTATATGTTGGGTATGAAAATTTGTTATGTTGTATGCGTGCGTGGGTGAAATTATTATGTTGTATATGTGGGTTATGAATATTCAGTGGAAATAATAATAATTAAATGAAATTTGGCCAAATATGTAATTATCCGGAAATATGTTAATTTATGTAATTACGCACATTTTAATTATGCCAATTCGAGAGGTAATCGTATTAATTATGCGAGTGGGTGTAATTATGATAACGCAAGTCGTTATGATAACCAGACCCCGGTTCACCCCGTTATCGCTTTAACATTTACTGAGTATGTATTAGTGTGTTTATTAAGGTCACCAAGTTCAAATCTCAACGCAGAAGCAGATCTTATGCATAGATTTCAGGAAAGAATCACACAACCACTTCTGTATTGATCAATTTATTACTAATTCAACCTTAACTATGATATAGTATGCGAACTCTCAATCCCGGAACGTCAATACGGCATCAATACAGTATCATCAACGATTGTCGGATTTCACTTCGACAACTGCACATGGATCCCGCATAACGCGATGGTTGTTAGTGAGAGAGAGAGTCGTTAAAACGTGCAAATACTATGCTAAGAAAACCTTAACGTTAATAAATGATTATACTCAATATTGTTCACGCAGTACCGCACTCCTTATTGATCATACGCAACCCTTATCACGTTGTTAACACCTTGGGTCACGGAACAGTTGAATATTCTGTAGAGGATGCGAGTACGTGCGGCGATTATGACTGAAAGATACTTGAAAGATTATACGGCGATAAAAAAAAAAACACAATCAAAACAGTTACTATTCTTAAAGGCACTAATCTCAACAGATACATCGGCAGGTTATCTGACAGCAGAACGGCTCGGAGTAAGGGCCTGCGACGGTGCTCCTTTTCCGAAGATCGTTATCTTATACCAAGTTTACTAATTGGGGACCAGATCACCTGATAAGGATCCGGTGGCCACCACTCCCCACGTGAGCGTGGCTCGGCGGAAGGAGGTGCCAAGAATCAGTTCGTATTGATGGATCTGTTGGGAATTTATGCGATTAAGAGTACAGCCCACTAAATATTAAAGATAAAAATTAAGAATACTCTTATACGACGGAGGCCACCACTCGGTCTCGTTGTGATGCCTTCCCAGCCACGGATGACTTATGGGTTCGAGTGTGTTTGAGTGGTAAGAGTTGTCTTGAATAGTCAGTGTTCGGAGTCGATTCTTTATGTCAAACAGACGCCTGGTGGTCGTGTGGTGAGGGGGCGGTGCGCGTCATACGTATCAGGCGCTCTCCTGTCACCGTGGTGAATTGGCTCGGATGGCTGTTGATACGCTGTCGCAGTTCGGAACCCGGTCGGTAGGTGGCGCCCACAACTCGCTCGTAGCGTGCAGCGTTGGATCGTCGCCAAGTCGCGACGCTCACCACCGGCGGCAGCGGAGATCTCCGGCGGCAGCAGAGATTGACGAGCTGAAGATGAGTCGAGCCGACCCGCTGGTCGCAGCTCGCTCCTGAGTCGACCCTCCCGGTCGAGCTCGCTCCTGGGTCGACCCGCTGGTCGCCCTCGCTCCTGAGTCGACTCTCTGGTCGCACTCCTGAGTGGACCCGCTCTGGTCGCACTCGTTCCTGAGTCGACCCTCCCGGTCGAGCTTCTGAGTGGACCCTCCCGTCGCACTCGTTCCTGAGTCGACCCTCCCGGTCGAGCTTCTGAGTGGACCCTCCCGTCGCACTCCTGCTGAGTCGACCCTCCCGGTCGAGCTTCTGAGTGGACCCTCCCCCGTCGCACTGGTTTCCAATGTTCAGGATCCGTTCCTTTATGCTGAAAAATCCCCCTGGATCCCGCCCACAAGGCGGGGCTTCCGATTTTTGCTGTGTCAGGATCTGTCCGTAGGCAGGTGTGTCCATGTGTGTGTCCGTATGTCCTTGTGTGCATCACTGACGGTATATTCCGTTGTCAACTC